AATGACAAAATATCGTATTTTAAAGTTAGGGTCGTTATGGTGATCAATAGTTTCGAATGACATAAAATAAAATTTTATTTATTACTATGATTATTTTATTTTTAGTATTATTATTATTTACTATTGTATTTAATATTATTTATTTTTATTTATTATTATTAATTGTAATATATTATTATTTATTATTATTTATTGTTATTTATTATTATTTATTATTTATTATTATTTATTATTATTTATTATTATTTATTATTATTTATTATTATTTATTATTATTTATTATTATTTATTATTATTTATTATTATTTATTATATACGGCTGTCAAAGATGTAAAACAAAATTGTAACGTCAATGAAATAAAAAAATTCTAATTCTATTATTATTTATTTTTACTTTTCTTTACTATTTATTATTATTTATGTTATTTATTATTATTGATTATTACTGTCAAAAGTGCAAGTGAGATAAACAACATACGTCCAACTCTTCTCGCACATACACTAATTCATAATTAATTATTATTGATTGATTGATTAAGAAATTAATTAATTAATTATTTAGTATTTAATTATTTATTATAACATGTATATTGTTTATGTTATATATGTAACAAGTAAGTTTATGCTCCTCTAACCATTCTATTGTTGAAGACAATAATAGTTTTAGAGTATAGGAGTTTCTTTGTCTGACCAAAACGTTCCACTTCCCCTGAAACTGTCTAGAAGGATTACGCAAGTGGAACAAGCGTATTATCGTCAGACACTGACAGTCTACACTACCAGGATCATTGTTCTAACTTTTCATTATATAATTATTACAATTATATAACTATATAACTAATAATCAATTAGAAAACTTTCAAATGATTAATTACGGACTGTTATAATAAAGGAGAAATGTGGTAAAAGTAAATTAATCGTCGGGTTAATCTTTAGAACAGTAATATTTTTATTATCAGTATTAAAGGGGTAATTTTAGTCAGACTGTATAAAAATTATTATAGCTAGGCAAATTAGTCGAATAGTAATAATTGTGCTATTAGTGGTAAACAGTGATTTTAGTCATACAATCATTATTTGTAATCTTATTGACAGTAGTATAAATTTATTTTAGTCAGACAGACGCAATTTTATCTTGACAGCAGTATAAGTAAATTTTAGTCAGACAATCGTTTTACTCATTTTTTGGACAGTGGTATAAATTGATTTTAGTCAGACAGTCATTTTTTGACAGTAGTAGAAATGTGTTTTAGTCAGACAATCCTTTTACTTATTTACAGTAGTATAAATAAATATTAGTCAAACAATCGTTTTATTTTTTACAGTAGTATAAATAAATTTTAGTCAGACAATAGTTTTTCTAAGTAGTAAAGACTCATTTTAGTCAGACAATCATTTTATTTAGATTTTTACAGTAGTATAAATTGATTTTAGTCAGACAATCGTTTTATTTGGATTTTTACAGTAGTATAAATTAATTTTTGTCAGACAATCGTTTTATTTGGATTTTTACAGTAGTATATATTGATTTTAGTTAGACAATCATTTTATTTTGATTTTTACAGAAGTATCAATTGATTTTAGTCAGACAATAGTTTTATAATCTTATTGACAGTGGTATAAATAAATTTAAGTCTGATTTCCGTTTTATCCTTTTTGACAGTAGTAGAAATGTGTTTTAGTCAGACAATAATTTTATTTAAATTTTTACAGTAGTATAAACTGATTTTAGTCAGACAATCATTTTATTTTTATTTTTACAGTAGTATAAATTGATTTTTGTCAGACATTCGTTTTATAATCTTATTGACATTGGTATAAATAAATGTATGTCAAATTTTTGTTTTATTCTTTTCTGACAGTAGTATAAATTGATTTTAGTCAGACCTTCATTTTATTTTGATTTTTACAGTAGTATAAATAGATTTTAGTCAGACAATAGTTTTATAATCTTATTGACAGTGGTATAAATAAATTTAAGTCTGATTTCCGTTTTATCCTTTTTGACAGTAGTAGAAATGTGTTTTAGTCAGACAATCGTTTTATAATCTTATTGTCATTGGTATAAATAAATGTATGTCAAATTTTTGTTTTATTCTTTTCTGACAGTAGTATAAATTGATTTTAGTCAGACAATCGTTTTATTTGGATTTTTACAGTAGTATAAATAAATTTAAGTCTGATTTCCGTTTTATTCTTTTTGACAGTAGTAGAAATGTGTTTTAGTCAGACAATTGTTTTATTTTGATTGTTACAGTACTATAAATTGATTTTAGTCAGACAATCGTTTTATTTGGATTTTTACAGTAGTATAAATTGATTTTTGTCAGACAATCGTTTTATTTGGATTTTTACAGTAGTATAAATTGATTTTTGTCAGACAATCGTTTTATTTGGATTTTTACAGTAGTATATATAGATTTTAGTTAGACAATCATTTTATTTTGATTTTTACAGAAGTATAAATTGATTTTAGTCAGACAATAGTTTTATAATCTTATTGACAGTGGTATAAATAAATTTAAGTCTGATTTCCGTTTTATCCTGTTTGACAGTAGTAGAAATGTGTTTTAGTCAGACAATCATTTTATTTAAATTTTTACAGTAGTATAAACTGATTTTAGTCAGACAATCATTTTATTTTTATTTTTACAGTAGTATAAATTGATTTTTGTCAGACATTCGTTTTATAATCTTATTGACATTGGTATAAATAAATGTATGTCAAATTTTTGTTTTATTCTTTTCTGACAGTAGTATAAATTGATTTTAGTCAGACAATCGTTTTATTTGGATTTTTACAGTAGTATAAATAAATTTAAGTCTGATTTCCGTTTTATTCTTTTTGACAGTAGTAGAAATGTGTTTTAGTCAGACAATTGTTTTATTTTGATTGTTACAGTACTATAAATTGATTTTAGTCAGACAATCGTTTTATTTGGATTTTTACTGTAGTATAAATTGATTTTAGTCAGACAATCATTTTATTTTGATTTTTACAAAAGTATAAATTGATTTTAGTCAGACAATAGTTTTATAATCTTATTGACAGTGGTATAAATAAATTTAAGTCTGATTTCCGTTTTATCCTTTTTGACAGTAGTAGAAATGTGTTTTAGTCAGACAATCGTTTTATAATCTTATTGTCATTGGTATAAATAAATGTTGTCAAATTTTTGTTTTATTCTTTTCTGACAGTAGTATAAATAGATTTTAGTCAGACAATCATTTTATTTTGATTTTTACAGAAGTATAAATTGATTTTAGTCAGACAATAGTTTTATAATCTTATTGACAGTGGTATAAATAAATTTAAGTCTGATTTCCGTTTTATCCTTTTTGACAGTAGTAGAAATGTATTTTAGTCAGACAATCATTTTATTTAAATTTTTATAGTAGTATAAACTGATTTTAGTCAGACAATCATTTTATTTTGAATTTTACAGTAGTAGAAATGTGTTTTAGTCAGACAATCGTTTTATAATCTTATTGACATTAGTATAAATAAATGTTGTCAAATTTTTGTTTTATTCTTTTCTGACAGTAGTATAAATTTATTTTAGTCAGACAGACGCAATTTTTTCTTGACAGTAGTATAAATAGATTTTAGTCAGACAATCATTTTATTTAAATTTTTACAGTAGTATAAACTGATTTTAGTCAGACAATCATTTTATTTTTATTTTTACAGTAGTATAAATTGATTTTTGTCAGACATTCGTTTTATAATCTTATTGACATTGGTATAAATAAATGTTGTCAAATTTTTGTTTTATTCTTTTCTGACAGTAGTATAAATAGATTTTAGTCAGACAATAGTTTTATAATCTTATTGACAGTGGTATAAATAAATTTAAGTCTGATTTCCGTTTTATCCTTTTTGACAGTAGTAGAAATGTATTTTAGTCAGACAATCATTTTATTTAAATTTTTATAGTAGTATAAACTGATTTTAGTTAGACAATCATTTTATTTTGATTTTTACAGAAGTATAAATTGATTTTAGTCAGACAATAGTTTTATAATCTTATTGACAGTGGTATAAATAAATTTAAGTCTGATTTACATTTTATCCTTTTTGGCAGTAGTAGAAATGTGTTTTAGTCAGGCAATCCTTTTACTTATTTACAGTAGTGTAAGTAAATATTAGTCTGACAATCGCTAGTTTTTCTTGATAGTTTTTATTTTTTTTCCACAGTAGTATAAATTTTAGTCAGACAATCATTATATTCTCTCTTTCATCTGTACATAAATAATGTTAACAATAAAATTGAATATAAACTCGTCATTCTAACTTTGGGAATTTCGCAGGTAATATATATATATATATAAATTTTACGCAAACTATTTATGCGTCTCTAGGTAAACTATTATAACTTTGGGTGCAAAAGTCTCTTGTCGTATTATTCTCTCTGTACAGGTAGGTATATGTATATACGAGAGACAGATGTTAATTGGTAACGTCACTTTGTCTATCCATCTATCTTCCCCCCCCCCTCTCCCTCTCTCTATCTCTGTATAGAAATTTCCACAAATTTGAATAGATTCTAAATTGTGTTTCAAGTTTCCTGTGCGAGTTTCTCACAGTCAGATGCACACATTTTGAATCGATCGTGAGTGGTTAACCTTTTGGTTGAAAATTTACATTGCGCATCATAGACATCATATAGACGACCGGGCTTTCTATCTTCCAATCATTCGTCTCTACTATCTGTGTGTGAATATATACACTCCCTCTCTCTCTCTCTCTCTATATTGAGAGAGAGCTTGCGGGCGGAAATTAAGCAGATTTCCTCTGCGGACATTGAATTCATATACACGTATGTGTGAAGATTGGTCCGCGGGTATATGCGCGAAATCAGAGTAGAGACCGCAGACGGCAATATCCGTCTGTGGGTGGAAGGTCGTGTAAGTCCAAAGCCACTAAGCTGTCACTGGCCCTGTTCGAGGTTTGAGCTTCGAGCTTTGAGCCAGTACAACGTTGAAACGAGGCGCGCTGAACGTCGAGAGAAAGCACCTTTAACCATAGTTGCTGCTTGCGTGTCAGTTAGAATCGAGCCGCGAATGGAGTAAGCTCGTGCCATACTGCGGCTCGTCCCGCTTTTATAAATGCTTCGTCGCGCTTTTACCGCGTTGACATCGCTGGCAAATTAATGCGCATTATTTCAAAAAAAAAAAAATATATATATTAATAATTCTAACGGGGGTGAATTAATCAAGATTATAATTACAGTAATGCATCCTATAGTCTGATTATCCGAAACAAAAAAATATAGAAGAATCCTCTACCTGGTGAGTCGTCTTTTTCCCGTGGGGTTTTGCGCGCGAAGAATGTCATTTTCTTTTAATTTCTTATTTCACGTTAAGAGCTTTAAAGTAGGATTAGAGTTTACCTCGCGGATTTAGTCTCCATGCAGAGTTATTAATTTAATATCGTCTCTTGTCTCTCGACATTTTACGTCGATTTATTATTAAGTAAGGGAATTTTTAATTTTCCCAGTTATTAATTAATGGAAATTTATGAAAAATCGAATATTTCCACTCTCGTAGATAATTAAAAGAATATTATATTGTCAAAATAAGTAAATATAAATTAAGATATAAATTTTTAAAACAATTATCAACTCTTTCTATTTTATAAAACTATTTGTTATTATTTGGTACTTATTTTTTTATTTTTTTTTATTCATACTTTTTTATTATAAAAACTTTTTTCTTTTACTCAACTTTTGTTATAACGAACAAAAAAAGTCGATATTAGGAAATAACAAAATTAGCGATCCTAAAGTTTTGAACGTTCAAATGAACAATTTTTGTTTTATTTCTTCTCCAAGTATATTAAATTTTTACAATTATTTTTGCATCAATCTTTTAAAAATTAATTGTAGTTTCTAAATTTAAAATTTAAGTTTTAGTTTTTTTTTGCAATCTGTAATTTATAAGAATATTTTTTATAAAAATAATTCGTTCATTTGATCGTTCGAAACTTGCATATCATCAAAATAAAAATTTTCTAACCTAATAAACAAAAAAAGTTTATAATTACGAAATATCAACTTTTGTTATTATATACAAAAAAAAGGTTAATATTTATTATGAAATAACAAGATTCGTTATAATAAAAAAAAAAGTTGACAATATTGCCAAAAATAAATAAATATTGACAATTTCGTTAATCAGAAGTTTCGTTAAAAAAGAGAAGTTGATATTTATTACAAAATCCCAATTTTCGTTATAATAAACAATAAAAGATGGTAATTTTTATAAAATAAAAACTTTCGTTATAAAAAAGAAAAAACAATATTTTTACTGTAAAATAACCAAAAATTTTATTATAAATAAATCTTTATAAGAATTAACATAACTTTCGTTATATAAAAAAAAAGTTGGTATTTATTCCAAAATAACAACTTTCGTTCTAATAAACAAAAAATTTCCTAAGTAAATACGAAAAAAAGTCCGCATTTTCATTGCGAATTTCATTTTATTACGAAATTAATTAATTACAAAATTAAAAAGAATAGTTTGGAAAAAAAGTTTTTCAGTCATAATTAAAAACAAAAAACAATTTGTTTTGTTTGTCAAGGTAGAAAAAAGGTAATTCACAATTGGTCCCTTGTTAAACTTTAGAAATTGAAAAACATATTTATACGGATCGAACTTGTTTGCAGATACACAATTGCCACGGACATAATAAGTTTTAACAATCCAGTGATTTTTAACAATTTGCGAGAAAAAAAAAAAAAAAGAATTTTCGTGTAATTAAAGAATGTTTTATATCTGAAAATGCGGAATAAAAATAAAACACATGTGCCAAAAAAAATGATATAAATATTTTATTACACATATATTTTTTTTTTGCTAATAAATAATTGTCACAAACTAATTCAAATTTCTAATTAGCAGTTACAAATTAGACATTTTTAATTACAAGTTAGATATTTTAAATTATATACAAATTAGCCAATTTTAATTACAAATCAGATATTTCTAATTACAGATTAGAAGTTTTTTTTTTTATTACAAATGAGAAATTTGAATTAATTTGACAAATATTAAAAAATATTTTTTTCAAAATATTAAATAACAAAAATAATTAATTAATAAAATATTCTTTCTTTCTGCAAAAAATGTTCAAATTATTCTTTTAATAATTATTCTTTAATCCAAAAAATAAGTTTACATCTTTACTATTATTCTTTTTTATTCCTTTTTTTAATCTTTAATTATTTTTATTTCTCTTAAAAGTTTTCAAAGTATTTTTTTATTTTCTCTACGTTTTTAATTTCTGTAATTATTTTTTATTTTCCAAAAACTGAGTACCTATGAAAAAACGTAGTTCAATTTTTTTTTTTTAAATTTTGAGAATATTGTGGCATTTTATTTACTTTTTATGAACTTCTATGTACTTAAGGAGAAAGTTTTTTTAATTGACAAATAAAACAGTACGTATTTTTTTTTCTTTCGAAACCGAAAAAAAAGCTCTCTTGATATATATTATTTTTAAATACGAAATATTGCATAGAATAATCATATTTTATACGTTTTCCACTTAAAATATTTTCTTTAAAGTGCCTTCATTAGTGAAAACAAGTTATTATTATTTTTTGTTCCGAAAATACTTTTTAGATATTTAATATTCGTATAAAAAAATCTGTATCATTTTAATATTTCAGTATTTGAAATCAAAACATTTTTATTAAATGTTCATAAAAAGTTTATGTGAATAATTTTACTTTCGCAAAATATTTTTATACACTAAATGAAAATTTCTATATGTCATTAAAAAAACGCTCACGTTATAATATAAAAAATATAATACAGATTTTGTATTTTTTATTTTATTTATTTAATTTATTCAATATTTATTTAATTTACTTATTATTTATTACAATAAATATATAATATTTAACACAGTAAATAATAAATATTTGTTGCATAAATAAGAAACATTTGTCGCCTAAATAATCAATATTTGTCGCATAAACAATAAATATTTGTTGCAAAAACAAATAAATATTTGATAAAAAAAATAAAAAAAATAAAATAAATAAAAACCAAAACTAAAAATATTTGATTCTCAAATAAACATACCTACTAATTAATAAATAATATATTTAATGCAAAAGTAATAAATATTAATTGTTTAAAAATTACATATTTATTATACAAACAATAAAATATTTCAACTGCATAAAATAACTACTTTAATTACTACAAAAATTAAATTATATTCTCTCCAAAGGAAATCAAATTTGCTTTAAAGAAATATTTGATTTAAACATCTGAAAATAACAAATGTTGCATTTAATAATTTAATAATAAAAATAATAAAAGTAATAAATTAATAACAGTATTTGGAAAATTGAAACTATGAAAGAAATTGAGCACTATAACTCTGCTGGGGATCGAAACCCTGGACATAAAAAATAATAATTATAATTATAATAAATATTATAATTCTAATTATCATATAAATAATAATTATACTAATAATAATAATAATATTCGTTTTAATAATTAAATAGTTAACAAATAAATAATTATTAATGATTAAATAATTAAAAAATTAAATTAAATAATAATATATATTTTAAATAATGAATAGAATAAAATACATATTATTTTAATAGTCGTCATTAGAGAAAGAGGAATTAATGTTTTTCCACCTTTTTATAAAAGATTGTTCGTACAATCGCAAAAACGTTTAGCTCCTTTCTTCTTGATTAGTTCTCGAATCTTGAAAGATAAAAAAAGGAGGCAGCAATTCACCCAAAAAGGTATATATAGCCTTTCGGTAATCTTTTTTAAGATAAAAGAATCCAATTTTGCTTTCAAAAGTTACACTTGATTCTAAATAAAGGTCCGTTTTTTTTTTTTGACTGACAACAATGGGTGTATATATATACACACGAAACCAATTTCGAATCAATCAAGCTTTCAGCTTTATTAAACTTGTTTTAAATACAATGTTCCTTGCTATATTTTAATATTCATATTTTGCGACAAATTATTCATATTATTATCATCAGAATATGAAATTTTTTTTCTATAATAAAAATACATATTTAAAACGTAAAAAAAAAACGAAATAATAAAAATGAGCAAACAGTTGATGTTGCGGTTATTTGGAAATATGAAAATTGTAATTATTTCCAAAAACTTTCAATTTCATAATTAATTGTTTTTAGTAAAAATTCAATAATTTTTTAAAAATAGAAAACAAATATTTTAGAAACCTAATTGTTTGGAATAATACTTATTTTTTTTAAACTTTGATTTTAAAAAAAAATTATAAACAATCTTTTTCAAATTTTTATATATAAAAAAACTGTTTTTATATTTAACAAAATAATTTTCAACTAAGAAAGTGTTTAATTTGTATAATTTTTTTTTATTTCTGTACAATAATTTTTGAAAATATTTTAGACAACAAATATTTCGTTGTTTTGAAAGGTTTAAAACTTTAAGAAAATGTAAAATTCTAAAAATTTCAGGGAAATTCCTGATTTCCCTCTAAACAAATTTATTTTCTCTGACTTTTCCCTGACTTGTTCACTCAGAAATAAAGTATTATTTGAATCATAGCCTATTCAATTATTTATTTGTTGAAAATAAATTTTATTCGGTTCAAATAAACTTTATTCCATTATCAAATCAACTTTATCTGGTTTTAAAAAATTTTATTTAGTTCAAATAAATTTTATTCTGTTCAAATCAATTTTATTTAGTTTTCAAGAATTATTGATTTAATTGAAATTTGCAGATTTCAATTAAATCAATAATTCTTGAAAACTAAATAAAATTAATTTAAATTCTAATTTCTATATAAAATTCAAATTAATCATTTTAAAAATTTATTAATTATTTGCAATATTTTATAATAAAATTTTAATTTAAAAAGTAGAAACAAATAAGTTTCTTTCATTTGAATTTTTAATGTTCTTTTTGTTAAGTTTTTTTTAACAATTTTTACTAAAATAAATAATAGTTTATTAAAATATTCCCTTATACAAAAAAAATTATTCTTTCGAATAAACAGTGTAATTTTTTATTCTCAATTAATTAATTTTCTAAAATAGATATAAAATGAAATGTTGCGTAGGTGGAAATTCTCCACGTGCTTTCTATTAGATAAATAACATTAAATTTTTTTTCACTTTTTCTGTCGGAAATTCTTTTTTACCTCAACTTATAATGAAAATAAAATTAAAGCGCAAATAATATGAAAGAGTTTGCATTGAAAATAATATCCATTAGTAAAAATAAAATGCAAAATAAAAGAAAAAAGA